GGTGCTGTCGAGGGCCCGCGGCGGCGTGGGACGTGGGCGCCTCAGGTGAGCGGCCGGCGCGACCATGTGCCGTGGCCTGGTGATGAGGGAGTGCGGAGGCTGCACAGAAACGGCACCGCTGGAATTCACCTTTGGAATCCGGTCAGTTGCGGTCACAGATGAAGAGAAGCAGGTCTTTGGGCTTGGGGAGGGCGGTGAGCCCCTGGCCGGGGAGCAGCCTGTTGCGTTCCAGTGTCGTGTGGGAGGACCGGCTTTTGCACATTGCGGTCTGCCTTCTTGCAGAGCAAAATGCGCGGAGGCTGCACAGAAACGGCACCGCTGGAATTCACCTTTGGAATCCGGTCAGTTGCGGTCACAGATGAAGAGAAGCAGGTCTTTGGGCTTGGGGAGGGCGGTGAGCCCCTGGCCGGGGAGCAGCCTGTTGCGTTCCAGTGTCGTGTGGGAGGACCGGCTTTTGCACATTGCGGTCTGCCTTCTTGCAGAGCAAAATGCGAGATGTTCTCCCTGAAAATGAACAGAGTTAAGTTCAGTCTTCAAGTTAATGTCTTCCAGTTGCCAGCATTTATGTATTTTATAAACCCTTTTTAAAAACCCAGTCGCTTGAGCCATTTCCAAGATTGCACTCTGTCTTTGCCAGTGTTTATTTTTCAGCATGTATACAGTGTGTGTAATGGGTATACAGCTGACTTAGGAAGATGTTTTTGTTTCAGCTTTGGAGCCATACTGAACTTAATAGTCTTGTGTGTGCCTTTCCTAGTCACTGAAGGAAGGCATGGAGAAGGTGAAGAACTTCTTAGAACTCAGATAGCGAGTCTGGAAACAAGACAGAACTGCAGTACCTTCTGTCTCAGAAGTCAAATTTAATCTAATAAAAAATGTATGTGTTTGTAATAAAAGCATACGTCCATTATTTCAGTTTCATCTTTTAAAACTGTTGTGTATTTTATCAAGCTTCATGTCTTGTTTGCCCGGCATCTTAAACTTCATAGAAGAACTGAGACCGTCTCTGAACTGCACTAAGCAAACTTCCTTCAAGTCAAACTCCAAACAAGCTTTTTCATGCAAAACTGCAGTGATTTACTTAGGACTTCAAAATGTATTTTACTGTGAATTTCCCTGTAGAGTCGGTGAAGAAATCAGTAACCCCTAATATAAATAAAGTTTTCAGCTTACTGGCAGTGTGACGAGTGCTTCACTCTGCAGAAGACAACTTCCTGTGGTGAAACTGCTTCTTGGAGTTATGAAGAGAACAAGCCTACGAGAAATGATTCGTTAATTTCTCTTTTTCTAGTTGTGATCATTTAATGTTGTGATTAAGCTTTGTACCTTTAAAATTATCTTCCACAACGTGTAGGGCCTCAACCTTCTGGGTGCCAGGGTGGACTGGGAGTGGGGCTGTTTGGAAGCGGCAGATGTATGTGAAATTACGTGTTACCTTGGATGCTCCCTGGGCCATACGCTAGCCAGGCCTGCAGCCCACCGACGTAGTGGAACACACCCGTGCTGACGTCAGACACCTCTGTGGTCCTTCAGCGGGTGTTATCCGTGTACCGAGCAGGTGACACGTTTTTAGGGTGGCCACATGCAGACCCCTAGCACGCTGTAGCCTTGTTTGCTCCTTGCGCTTGGGAATCCTCTTGCTTTTTCTCTGCAAAGGGCAGCGTATTCTGGTATGGCCAGTGGAGCTGGGCATCAGGTCACAACATCTAAAGCAGGTCAGCTGCTGATCGGTTTGATTTTACTTAAATGAACCAAACTGTTGCTTGAGTTCGTTGACTGAAGGTCTGTATTTGTGCAGCCAAAGGTTATGAGCTGTATTCCAAATGTTGCATGCATGTGAGGAGCTCACAAGTAAAGTGTTTAGACCATAGTGGGCTGCAGGCCACTAAAAGTATTTCCGTCTTTTGTAATTTTCAGTGGTGTTTGTGTCTTGTTTTGGTCTGAAGCAGTGATATGGAATAGCATTAAAGATGCTGCTGAGTGAGACAGTGTTTTTTGCTTTGTAAGTATTTGCAGACATTATAGTATAGAGTAGGATCTAAGAGCACACAATATACTGGGTGTAATATGTTCCAACAGTCTCTCTCAAAACACACAGCAGGGATAAAAACTAGTATTATCTCCCAGGTTGATGATCACGATTATTACATTGTGGAGTTAAGAGCGGTACTGAAGAGGAAGCAAGGTCTGTTCAGCTCTTTAAAAAAATATTATATCTTGGCAAGTCAAAGACCACCTGCACGTTTTGTTGAAAAAAAACCCCAAATCATTTGGATTCCAGTCTTCTGTTACCTCCAAGCAGGATAAACTGGTGATACTGCATACACAGAGCTTTAATATGGAGGCTTGGTCTTGCTTCTGGCCGAAACAAACCTGTGCACTGTGCGTGACTCGAGATTGTCTTTCTTCTTTTAGGCTGAAAGAGGTTGGCCTATTTGTAACTGCTCTTAATTAAGACTGAGGTTGCTCTGGGAAGAAATCTATAGGTGAAGGGCAGCACATGGAAAAAAAGGTGCTGTTTCATGACTACCGAACCTAAC